TTCTTGATTATATGATGTCATATAAATGTACAGACGAAAATGTTATGAACAACAATCTGTTTTTTCGAGTACTATCAACATTGAAAGATGGAACATTCGAATATAAACTGATGAAACACACAATTTATTGTAGATTATGCTACCCTAACTCTGAATGGAGCTATTGTCTTTATTAGCTTTTTGAAAGAAAAAAACACAGATACAAACCTTATAAGGGTCTGGTAAAACCTAATGACAAATCGTGCTAATTTAACATATTTTTCAATGAAATTAGGTTCAATCTCTATTTCTATTTTATCAACAGTCCAACCGTATCTGAATCTAATGCTATTCCTCTTTATAATAATTTCATCTTGAAATTCAAAGTGTTGTCTTGCAGTCTGACAAAGCTAAAATGGCTTTCATTTTGGATTTCGAATATTTTGATTGATATGTCATAATTATGTGTAATACTGTCATTACATGGATGCTTGTAAAACAAAAGTGTGCAGATGAAAATTTACAACTGGAAAGTTCGCAATTTCAAAAGTAACCTTTAAAATTAAAAATATTAGAAGGTTTCATTGGCAATCTTATACACGTAGGCATTTATTTGCAATTTTATAATTGATACAATTTAGTGCAGTGAACAGTAAAGCATTCATATATTAGTAACACCATGGAAGTGGAGAAATGTGTTTACTAATATCACTTTTAACAAATACGAGGAAATATTACAAAAACAACAGAAAAATAGGCACACTTATAGAAGTATGTAGTAATGAAAAAGGTTGACTGGAAAGATTCAAATGAAACATAAATGTTCTGAAGAAGCTAAGTCAATCAAAGAATAATACAAGTTGGGTGTAGATACAGAGAAGGGGGCTAAGATTCAAGTATCATAACCTTTGCTCAATGTTACCTTCATATAAACTTGATATCCCAAGTCAATTTATAGACTTCGTACGCCATGGTGGCAGCATGGAGTTCATACCAATGAAGGAACGGCACAAATAGCATGCCGATGACGAGTCCTATCTTTCCATCAAAGAACAAAGCTAGGACAGGCCACGCAAGGGGAGACCCTACCTCATGAATTAAGCTGTCCCACATCCACTGGGTGGCGTTCGTCATTCCGATAGCGATCAAACAAAGCAGGGTCCACTTTGCTTCCTTGTAGTCTCTGGGTTGCTGATGCTGCACGCGTAAGAGAAATATAGTCTGGATGCATTTCCGAAGAACGCCAAAGAAACCCGCGAATGCACACACCACGTTAAGAACTATTTCGTCGTGGGACAATTCGGAAGCTGAGAAGAGGTTGCCGAAGGAAGACACGAGGCAACACATCTCGTACAAACAAGCTCCAGAAAGCGTAATCAGCAACATTTTCTTGTTTTCCTCGGACGGGCCGTGGGCGAAGTATCCAGGTCGTTCTGTACAGTAGATACCTTGACATTTTCGGGTAATTTTCATCTGCTTGAAAATGATCACTAACTCTGGGGTAAAAAAAGTAATTCGTAACAACCATTGCCAATAGCGTCCTCGGAGTCCAGAGCCTTCTGCCAAAAGAAGGTTACTGATCCCGAAGAATATGATGCATATCAACAAGGTGGATGCTATAGCTATCTCCATCTTTCTTGCCAACGCTCTGCTAGACTTGTCTTCGCGTGATGCCACATCGACAATGGTGCTTCGTTGAAAATTTCTAGTTTCGCCATTTCGGGATTCAACTGACATCATATCAGTGCTTCCATAAGAAGCTTTGTGATCATATTCTTTCACCTGTTTGTCCTTATTGTCTTCTAGCAGCGAGGAATATCGACAAACTTTTTGAGTGCTTTGCTTTTGTTGGGTTAAGAAACTATTGTAAAATGACCAAAGCCGAGTCCAATTCGAGCTTCGGCTGATACGTGTCATGCAAGGGTCTTTTCCCCGAACCTTGTGGATATCTTTGATGATAACTCGAGCGGCTGGAGGAACGAATCGGAACCACATATCTATGAACACCCACGCAAACATGACAGGAAGTTCAACTAAGAATGGTTGGGAGAATTCCATGATACCGTTAAGGAACTCCCCCGATGTGCTATTGAGTGCACAGTGATGATTCGTATACTTTCCGCGATGTCCGATATGATTAAAGGGCCGGACGATCATCTTGACGGCCATCCAAATACTAATTTCAATTAAGAAGACAAAGGTCCAGCGTATCTTAGGTGTTGCGACAAAGTTAGCATCGTAAAAAATAGGGATGAAATGGCAACTCAAAAAGTAAACTACCAAAGCCATGACGAAAAGGATGATCAGTTGGCCGATGAGTTCCATGTTTGTTTGAGCAAAATAGTCCAACGAATTTTCGTTGAAACATAACATGATACTGGCTGTGTCGGTAAATATGGACAGCAATACCAGACCAGAGAAAATGTAAGTAATATTTATAGTTACATTGCTGGCTGTTGCAGATTTTAGTGTCGACTCTTCCCGAGATAGCCCAGACATCTTATCAAGTCGAGACGTCTTCTGTTCAGAGGTGAAGTTGTCGTGGAGCTTCATCGTGTTCATCTGATTGAGCGCTTCAAAACAGTTTCTGCAGCGCTTAGGCCAGAGTACAAATCCCTCTTCATGCAAATGCTCTACTCTAAGCGTCATCCGAATAAGGACTACAAGAACACATAAGACCGGGAGAGCGATAGCGATGTTTCGAACTGAGTAAAATACGGTGAGATATGTCTCCGTCGTATGTTTCCCAGGCAGAAACGGGATGCACATTACGATTAATCCCACTCCTGTCAGAACGCACATTACGACAAGAGAAGTGTTCGCCTCCGGTCTGAGTCTAGGCATTGGCGCACCAATGGCTACATGGTCGTCCCTGGTAAACGACGATCCTGGCACAGCCCCTCTGTCAGATCTGACGTCATTACATTCATTTTGGTCCGAGTTAACATGACGGTCAATATCGAATTTTGTGGGGCTTTCTTTGATCAGTGGTGAGTTGTTTCCATTACGTTGTTCTGCCATATTTTTTAAAATCCAGTTCGACAACAGAATCGTTTTGAAAACATAACTAATCTTCCTATTAGGTTACGGATCAAAAGAGGATGTGAGAGGCTCCTCACATTTTACACATGACTTAATTAATAGCGAAAATGCAACCGAATATACTTTGAGAGATAATTCGCTCCCAAAGAGAGAGAGAGAGGAATCGAGAGAGTGGGGGTGAGAGAGAAAGTTATGGGGTATTCATTGGTTGGCATGTATGGACAGCGGTGGATTTCAAATTCTCCTTAGCGAGGGGGGGGGGGGGGGGGGGGAGGGGCATCATTCTTCATTCTAACAAGAGGAAAGAAATCAGTTGTGTTTAGTGAAGAAAAAAAATGGGGCAGAATGGGGCACCTAATCACTCCCTTGCCCCTATATCTGCCAGTAGAGGGCGAGGGCATATAATATCATAAGTAAACAACACTGGACTTTCTGCTCTGAAAACTAATACTTGATTAATTGTTTTCCACACCTCAGACACATACAAAATTATCAAAACATGCTTCCTCTTTTTCAAATTTTATATCAAAAGGGGGGGGGGGGGGTAAGGAGATGAAGAGAGAAATAAAGCGAGGAAGAAAGGTAGTATTATAAAGTAAGAGGAGACTGGTGACTTTTTTAAACATGAAAGGCATGGATGCGCGATCAAAAAGCTAAATGTCATACCTTAATTACACAACTCCCAGAATCTACCCCCTCCATTTAATTTTGTTTTCCTTCTCATAGATCTTTTGAATGATTATTGTGCCACACCCTCCCCCAAATTGTGCTAACTCCTGGATCTGCCTCAAATGAAACACAACTGTACTTTCAACCAACCAGAATCACGTATCCTATACCAGCTGTGCTTCCGAAGTCCTAAGCGCTCTCATGCTGCTCTAGGCCAGTGTTATCCAAATCTGGGACTGTCTGTGTGTTTGTGTACGTCAATCTGTCTTTACCTCTTTCTATCTTTTTTTTGTTTTCCTCTCCTTTTTTCTTGCACCCCTCATCTCTACAGCCACTTGGCTGCTGCTGACTCCACCATCCCAGGTCTCACCAGACATACTCAAAAGCCACCCTGACTGAAACCATCGGCCAATGTGTGATAATAATAATAATAATAATAATAATAGTGAACATTTATATTTGTTACCCCTTTATTCTGTCCAGTGGTGGATCCAGGGGGTCCGGGCCTCTTCCCCGTGGGAAAAAACAGGTAAAAAGACGTACATTTTACCTTTTTGTGTGTGGAGATGCCCCCCCCCCTCCTTTCAAATTTTCGGGAGCAAAAAAAATAATAATTAGTGCTCCTTACCCCCCCCCCCCCTCCCGCTTATTCACCGGCGGGCTGTTTCGTCGCTAAATATTTTCTCACGAATAGGGCACCCTCCCCTGCCGCCGGCTGGATCCGCCCCTGCAGGAGATTACATTTCGAGGCCTTTACACCAATAGGACCTTCAACATGTCAAATGAAACATTACTAACAAACAAATTTGTTTTGGACGACTACGTCAAACGGGTTATCATCGCTGTACTGTTCGTTGTAATATGCATCGTCGGGCTCGTTGGAAACTCAACTGTCATCCTCGCAGTCATTCTCTCTCGCAAGCTCAGATCGACCACCAACTGGTTTGTGCTCAATCTTGCATGTGCTGACCTCCTGGATGGCTAGCCTCTTTCTTTCTTTCCAAGTTGTTACTATGTTGGATGTGAAGGATCGTTCTTTGCCGAACTGGCTGTGTACCTTAATCGCCGCTGTCCGACTCACTTGCTTCTCCGTCAACCTCATTATGGTGACCATGATTGGATTTACTCGTTGGTTTCTTATAACCAAGCCGCTGCACAAATTCAAGAAACTTTACAGACCCCGAAACATCACAATTATGATGACTTTCTCTTGGGTTTACTCCGCTGTATGGGTGGTCATTCCGCACTTTGTAGGACTGGGTACGCTTGGGTTTTCCGTCCAGTTTAAGATTTGCCATTGGGACGCCTCGATGGATCCTTTTAAGGACTTCTACAGTATTCTTAGTGGTTTCGGTGTGTTTTTCATGTTTGTGATTGTTGTCATCAACTACGCCATGATTTATCGTTTCGTGACCAGACACAGCAGGAAAATGGAAGCAGTCAGTTAGGGACACATTCGAACAGCACAACAACCCAATGATGCTTCCGCAGAAAGGGAATCCACTTCGTCACCAAAGTGTGAAGACGAGGCGACACAAATAACCCAAAATTCACAGAGCGAAGACAGTGTATCTGCTCCTGTGACGAGAAATCAAGAGTGTACAGATAAGAAGAAGGAGGACCGTGTGATCAAGAATCAGACGGTCTTGGTCACCAAGCGACTCGCCGTCATCATTTTGGCTTTCTTCTTTTGTTCCATGCCATTCGGTATCAGCATTCTTGTGACACCTCTGCGACCAGTAGTTCCGTGGACATTCCCCGTCTTCTTTCTCAGCAACTGCATTAATCCATTGATCTATGCTGGGACCATGCCCGCCTTCCGCGAGGTGATGGGGTGCATCATCCGCTGTCGCTATGACAACATCCCAGCTTCCGTGAATTTCCTAAGGCGCAAGGAAAAGTGAAATGGAACTTCTTACTTTGCTTTTAATTGATTTCTGTGTATTGTGGATGACCTTACTCGTCATTGTACAGGTACATTTTGATAAGTGTATCCATGTATTCAAAATTAATAAGGTACTGTAGGGAATAGTTTACCTACAAGAAATATACCAGCTGTGGATCTAGGGGGGGGGGGGCAATAATGAGCCACAAAGTAAGATGAACTACCCTCGACATTACATAATACAATTGAGATGTAAATTTTAAAAGATTCCAATTATAGACGAATTAGAGAGAGAGAGAGAGAGAGAGAGAGAGAGAGATTCAACAACAAATACCGTGGTATCGTATTCTTCAGACTAAAATTCTTTAACCAGTCAAATCTTAATTCGTGCTACAAGGGCTCATTAATTTTAAAAGTAATTATAATTATCTGAGCTTTCACTTGACCTTGATTCATGTTTCGGCTATTTTGTTCAATGTTGTCTCATGATGTTTTGTAACCAACTACAGGATCTCGCCTTGAGGCAGTCCATTATTTATGAAGTCAATTTAGTTCTATCCATTCAAAGTAAACCAATATTATTCTCCATATTTTTTTATTTATTTATTTATTTATTTATTTATTATTATTTTTTTAAAAATTTATTTATTTATTTATTTTAATTTTTTTGTTGTTGGTTTTTTTGGGGGGGTTAATAAAAAAAATAAAAAAAATCAATTAATGAATGTGTACATATAACGACACATGCATTGCTAATGAACAGCTTAGTAAAATACACATAGAATGAGTAATTTCAACTTTAATTATCATAACATTCTTTTTATTTGGCCATTTTCTTCAAAACCTTCACTACCTTAAACAATTTTCTTTGGGTTCTTTCCTACAGTTGTAAACAAGTTTGGAATGCAGGTTATAAATATAACATCATTGACTTTTAAAGAGTATTTCTATGTTGATGACGATTCTTAGAATTTCTGTTATACCTTTATTTGAGATTTTAGTGCTTTTAGTTGCTAAATGCTATGGGAAAATATGTGGGATGTTAAATAAGGGATTTTCGGTTGTAAAATTTGCGCATGTTTCTACCAAAGGGGCTGATTACTGATTTTCAGTTGTATAAAAACGAATTCACGCACACAATATGTGAAATCGACGTGCATTTTACTTAATGGAATGTATACACTGGTTAAATAGAAGTGAGACACTTCACAAAATAACAATTCATGTTTTACACGTTGTATATGTGGAAAATATGTGGGATGTTAAATAAGGGATTTTCGGTTGTAAATTTTGCGCATGTTTCTACCAAAGGGGCTGATTACTGATTTTCAGTTGTATAAAAAAGAATTCATGCACACAATATGTGAAATCGACGTGCATTTTACTTAACGGAATGTATACACTGGTTAAAAAGAAGTGAGACACTTCACAAAATAACAATTCATGTTTTACACGTTGTATTTTGTGTGTGAATGGGCGTAGGGTCTGTCGGTGTGTGTGCGTGTGTGTGTGTGCGCACGTGTTTTTTGGTGGACAGTTGCTAAAATCGATTTTGATTTATCATTATTGATTTACCAATAGAAGCCATTGGACTTCTATTGGCTTCTATTGGTAAATCAATAATGATAATTCAAATCGATTTTAGCAACTGTCCACCAAAAAAGTATATTCTAATCTCAATTGCATTAACATCATCACATAGATCACTTGTAGTGAAGTCCAATGGCTTCTATTGGTATATCAATAATGATAAATCAAAATCGATTTTAGCAACTGTCCACCAAAAAACATTTCTTAAAGTGGGAGCAGCTTAAGATTAATTAAGATTTGCTTTCTTCTCCACCGTGAGCCTGTTAAAAGCGTAACTCGATTTTGCGGCCTGGATAACTTATTTAGTGGCCTGGATAACTTATTTAGTATATTTTTCTTTAGTTGAGAATGTTGGCAGACATCCACTGAGTGAGTACTGTGTGTGTGTGTGTGGGGGGGGGGGGGTGGGTGGGTGGGTGAGTATGTGTGTGAGTGGGTGAGTATGTTTGTGTGATAGAGGGTGAGTATGTCTGTGTGATGGAGGGGGCAGGGAGGGGGCAGGATTGTTTCAGTAAAATTACCTCCAGATTTGTTTTTTTTTGGTAATATATAAGTAAATAACATTTACAATTTACATATTATGTTTAAGTACTTATACGTTTACTTTGTTGCTAAGTTATATTATACTGCAAATGAGTTTGTGTTTAATTATGTTGATGTAAAAGCATCAATATTGAACACGTTTATTTTATTCAATTGTATGTCATGATTTGTATTACACATCTGGAGAAATAAAACAAAATTGTTAAAAAAAAAAAAAAAAAGTGTGCGCGTGTGTGAGTGTGTGTTTCTGGAGGCTGTTAAGTAGTCGAGTTCTGCATGAACTTCCTCACAATTTGTTCATTGGTAACTATATATACTTAGGTAAGGTGCACAAATGGGGGAAAGTGTATGTTGGTGGGTTAGGGGGCATGTGTGTGTGCGTGTGGTTGTGTGGGTAAGGTGGAAAAAGTCATGTTCTGGATGTCCTCCGCGTATTTATTTCTTATGTTAAACTTAATAGATAAAGGCTAGGTGCAATAATGGAGGAGATGATGGTGGGTAAAATGATTTAGAAAATTTCTGCAAGTCATAAGTCTTTAATAAACATTGATATTAATGTTTATATAACATGCAAATACGAAACAAAAAGTAAGAGCACTCTAGGCCTATCTAAACAGGACAAACGCCAAGAAAGTAAAGCCACTCAGATTTCAAGTTAGGGTTGTTTCCTGGCAATCCCACCACCTCTCCTCCTGAGCCGACCATGATAATGCAGGAAATGTTAAAGGGCGACAGATTTTCCTAAACTGCTTTCAAAAAGTAAAATTGAAAAGATTGATGTGAAAGAATATATCTTTCTCTTGTTTGTATTTCTTTGTTTCTGGAGACGTTTAAGGGGGTAATTACATGATATTTAAGTAACGTTTTCAATATTAAAAAGAAGTTCTTGCAAGCTATAGGCCCCCTTCTAAGTTTTTACCTCGTCCAACGCAAATTGTCTTAACACAATTTGGCAAGGAGATTATGATTCTATATTTACCATCTGCATTGAAGACCTGCTACGTAGGGAACTTGAACATTGATGAATGCCAATCCGCAATGTACAGTCTAAATGATGTTTACCCCTGTACACTTTCAGAAGTAAGTGCTTTAATCATTGTGCACCTAAATACGACAAATGTTATTAATTAAATCGTTTCGTTTTATTTTCATCCAATAATTGCAGTAGTAAAGTATAAGCTATCGAATAGACTAAAGATATAAAACAAAACCAAAATCCAAAATATAACGGATAATTTTCTCATGATAAATAAAAGCCACTGGGAAGCATTTGCTATCAAGAAGGACGTCGTTGGTGTTGTTTGCTAGTGATTGCTAGGCTTTTAGTAGTTTTATAGATACTATCTAACAAATTTATTGGATTAGATTTTGTGGTTTTTTATCACATTTTTCAAACTAACATCTCGAATTTCCATACTATATCAGTCACACAAAACAAGAACGATAAATATGAAGTTAAAAAAGTTTCTTTACGGGATGACAATGCAATCTTTAGGAGCCTCCGTAAGCGGTGTTTCCACATTTACAAGTCGGAATGGGGATTCATTGATGTTGGATCTCTTTTGGTTTCGTTTTCCTCCAGAAGGAAAGGTTGAGAGAAAAAGAAAATAGCACAAATAAAAGCATTTATATTAATAGCAGAACTCAAAGGATCATTTAGCCTTCATAATATTGCTACACGTCGATTGCTAATTAACCGAATATGGATCAGGAGATCAGTGGCGGATCCAGGGGGACCCGGGGGGCCCGGCCCCCATATGGAAACGTTTGCTTGTATTTGTCTCATAAAAGAAGTTGACCACAAACTGACTCCCACACGGTGTTGAGTGCCTAGGGGTCACGGGCCACTGGCCTCATCGGGCAGGTAGTTCCATTATGTGAATGGGTAAATTAACTATTACAAAATGAGGGGACACATTACATTGTACAATAGGGACACAGATTGTTTTTTATTGTGCAGAACATACTCTTTTATTGACTTACTTATTGCATGAAACTATAACACCAAAATGCATTTCGTATTCTAACAATTGAAGTACAAAGAATAATAACAGGTGAATGAAATGCATAAATACCACAAACACTTGGGGAGGAAGCATTCATAAATTTGAATAATTTAGTTGATAAACGACACCGATGAAACTATAAAATCAAAATGTAATTTGCGTTCTGGCAATTCGAGTACAAAGAATGATAGCAGGTGAATGAAATGCTTCAACAACAAACACCTGGGAAGGAAGCATCCATAAATTTGAATAATTTAGTTGATGAACGACTCCGCATGTGGACGTTTGGTGGAGCAGAAAGCAGTGGATTCTTAACAACACGAACCCATTTAACAGAATGTCGGAACGTAAATTAAATTTGGCGCGGTTGGAAAATGCATCTTTCTACCCTGCGACTTTAATGGTACGATCCAGTAAATTAAAAAATGTCAACTTACCTTAAAACATTCTTGATTATATGATGTCATATAAATGTACAGACGAAAATGTTATGAACATCAATCTTTTTTTCGAGTACTATCAACATTGAAAGATAAAACATTCGAATATAAACTAAAGAAACACACAATATATTGTAAATTATGCTACCCTAACCGTGCATGGAGCTATTGTCTTTATTAGCTTTTTGAAAGAAAAAACACAGATACAAACCTTATAAGGGTCTGGTAAAACCTAATCGTGCTAATTTAACATATTTTTCAATGAAATTAGGTTCAATCTCTATTTCTATTTTATCAACAATCCAACCGTAACTTAATATAATGCTATTCCTCTTTATAATAATTTCATCTTGAAATTCAAAGTGTTGTCTTGCAGTCTGACAAAGCTAAAATGGCTTCCATTTAGGATTTCGAATAGTTTGATTGATTTGTCATAATTA